CAAGAAATTATGTCTGTCTGAAGAATTAAAGAGAAAGTATTAACCCAAACGAAGCCCTAACTCTACTGAAGAATTATAAGGAAAAATAATATGAGCCTTTTTTTTTGGATGCATTATATTCATTATTCTAATCACGACATTAATCACTTTACAGCATCTAGATTTAGGGGCGAATTAAGTGCAACGCTTGTCATGGTAATCGCACTTGCATTGCAAAACCGAATTCAAGTGCAACGCTTTTCGGACACGCCTACTGAAAATACGTCACTACCATAGAGGAATTTTGCGGCTACTCCTGACCTGCCGCAAACTCTTAACAGCGACTGTAAACAAGATGGCTGAAGTGATTTTGCTCAGACGTTTAAGAAATCGGAGAAATGCTGATGATCGAATTCCTTGGCATTTAAGAGACAGTCGTAATGCTTTTGAAATGTCGGAGCGTGAATTCATCAGTTGATTCAGATTAAATCGGTTTGCTTCAATGAATTGAAACCTTTTCTGAAGGCAACTGCCAATGGATATTCTCTGCAAAAGCAGGTTTGTTTTTACTTCAGATTATGAAAACTGAAATACTTCTGGAAATGTTTCCGAATCAAAGACTATGCTTAAATGACCTATTTGAGAATATTATATATTTTTATACGTAAACACACAAATTTTTAATGTTATTGTATCAGGATTCTTTCTTTTTCATCCCGTTTTTTTTTTCGTAGTAATGATCGAAATCGTTAATTACTGCGAATTTTGGAATGCAGTAATAATATCACCATTAATTTATTGTTTTAATTACTCTAAAACGTAATCTCGGAGAAATTGTTTTTCTAACAGAAATTATGCATATGCCTGTCTTTGAGATATATATATATATATATATTTGGGATTAGTTTTTTGGAATATTATATATTTTTTCATGGTTTTAGATACGTGCATTTAATTTACATATGCTCTCTCAGAATTTCAGTGATATAGTAAATTAGTTTGCAGCAATAATTAATCTTTGATATGTATGCAATTAAAATTTCATAATTTAAATTAACTTTATATGAATAGAGAATATTTGTTAAATTCAAATTTCATTCTTTGCAGCAATGGCACATGAGAATTAAATTTAACTTTATTTAAATTTAACTTTACTTTTTATTCTTATGAAACAATATATATATATATATTCTGTAACTGTAGGGGGAAAAACCATGAATTTTTCTCAGCTGTTTAAACAGTTCCCATGTATAAAATAGTATTTCATCCCCCAAAATATTAGTTAATTTTCTCCTAATGTATAATGTCTTGCCTGTTCGTACAGTGTGATTAATGTCATGGTAATTTTGGATACTTTCTATAGATCTTGCATAATAACTACACATGTAAGTTATATACACATTCATAAATCTCTTATGATATGAAAAGTTATTGCAGACTTTCACATAACTATTAATAACTTGGTGACTTACCTTACTTCCGTAGACCATGATCAGAATTAAATAAACTTATAAGGTTATCATACTAAATTACACGAAAAGCAGCATGACATAAATAAATACAAAGAAATTAAATGTATTTACTGTACTAATAGATTATTATATTACACGACATTGGTTTTGCCCATGTATAATGGGAATGAAAGCCAGTTTTCCATAGAAAGTCCTCTACAGAGGCATCTGTTTTCTTAAGCAGATTGCTTTTACCACCACATTTCAGTGACCTTGATTTAAGTATGAAACTGGATAATATTTTCTTTCTGCATGAAATGTGTTAACTGAGTTTTAGAAATATAAGCCATCTTGCAGTTACTGTGATAATACTAATTTTTGGTACCTCCATATTATACCATCAACCATGAAAGTTGTGCTAATTACTGCTGTGGAATTCTGAGCCAGACATTTGTATACAGCAGTTACAACAAACCATACATCAGTCTCTCTGCAGAATACATGAAATAACCCTGCTGTGAAAGTATTGGACCCACTTCGTGAAAAAACATTCGTTCATTACTACTGTTTTATTTGCGGTCAAATTTTACCAAAAAGCTCATTTTAGAATGCTATGAATACAAGTTGTCCACAGGTAATTGTTCCAATTTCTTACTGTTTTGTTCGCTATTTCCACATACAGTAGATGTTAATTCTTTCGACCAGCTGTAAAAGAACTGGAGTGCAATCACAAATGTGATTCTACCTAGCTTACCAAGAATTATTTTGGGTTACATACAAATGAAACCGCAGATGTTGCGAGTGTGGTGATATTAATTTTTGTTTTGTCTTCATTAACCGGAAAAATAAATTTTCCATTAATGGTGAAAAGGTAAGAAATATATGATAATAAGTATAATATTATAGTCATTTCAAATTACTGCAAGAATGTTTCATTATTATTCAAATAATAATAACAAAAAGCTATCTATACTATAATTATAGTGAAGTATAGATATTAAATAATACAAAATATTAAATAAATTTTAGAATCACCTATTTACTATAATTACTACAATTTAATAAAAAAAGGGTAGCTGTAATTTTTTTTTTTTTTTTTTTTTTTGTGTGTGTGTGTGTGTGTTTGTTTTTTAACGTTTTATTGCATATTTTTTAATAATGAAAAAACAGTGACATATTTTTGTTAAAAATGGAAAGTAAACTCCTTAAAAAGACTGATTTATTAATATATCAACTATATTTAATGTTAAAAATCTGTGTATTAAAATTTCAGATGAAACTTTCTTTTGACTTAGGATTTATGTTTTTCTAGGTATGGAATGCTGGTCTGAGGGTTCTCTATGCTATAGGACAATGGCCAGGCAATACTCATGATGCATTTATATGGAGTGGACTGAAACAAAATCTAGATAGTATTTTGTCGCATCGTGCATATCTTTGGGAGATAGTGGATTATATTCCCATTTTATCACGGGAATATCTCTATAATGAGAAGCACAGAAAAGTTCGTGCAGCTATAGAGATCAAATCAAGATTTAGGGTACTGCACGATACTGGTGGAACACTATTGTATTCACAAAGCAAAATATGTAAAATGGTCATATCTGGTGGCCATTTTACATAATATATGCTTAAGGTATTGTGTTGAAAATCCTGAGATTGATGTGTTTGAAGATGATGAGTTGGTACCTTCAGAAAGTTTTCAGTCAGTGCATGTTGAAATTGCATTGCACAATGAATTATCTTTAAATTTTGAAACTCGATAATAAAAACCCAAAGTGGGCAACAATGAACCTCTGGCAAAGGTGAAACCCCCTTCATGGATAATAAAGAATATATTATGAAAAAAATTACTTTCATAATATATTCTTGGGGACCCACAAGCCATGGTTTATATTTAAACCTGTAACTAAATGCACAACCCTAAATGATTTTAATATAATATAATAATAATCTAAATAATTTTATTGATTTTAATTGATAATAATCCTAAATAATTTTATTAGTCCTGGTTTCAAATGCATACTGACAACTTTTATCATTATTGTTCTTCCCTCTGAATTTCTTGTTTCCATCATTTATGTTTAAAAACTCTTGACTACCAGAAATAACTTAATAGGCTTGATATATATATATATTTTAGTGTTGGTATGCCAGTCATGATTTACAATAGTAAGTCACTATAAATTAGCATTGCACTTAATTTATCTTAAACTTAGCAATAAGATTTACTGCACCGAAATTCAGTTTCTTCCAAAAAGTCAAATGTTTCCCTTTCGTCCCCTTCCGTGGGACAAGATAGAAAATTTCCATGTGACAATACACATTTAATAGCATAAGAACTTCATGCTTATTTATTATAGTATAAATTAAAACTGACATATTCTGTCAAAGATATTTAAATGTATTTCCTAAAAACAATTATTTCACTCTATACTGTTTATGTCTTCTTGGGGGTGGGCAAAACAAATATTGGACAGTTCAATTTTCCTCCACCATTCCTGTGAGCGTATTCTTCGATTAAGCAGGGTTTTGCTCCAATTCCTGATTAGCATAATATGTAAAGAATAAACAGCCTATGATTTATGCCTCCATATACTCTTGTACTCTTGTATTATTTAAAGAACATACATTTTTCTTTTAATTCTAGATTTTAAAACATTAAAGTAAGGGAAAGATTGTTTGCTGAATTTAGATTTATATCATCATTACGCATTCACTATAATAACTTACTGCATACTTACCTCAGTGGGTTTGCCATTAAAAGAAATACATTTAAGTAAAATCATGAGTGTATAATAAATTGTTTTTCAGCCAAAAAAAGAGAAGGGGGAAAATAAATACAGTTTGATTCACTTAATTTTTAGTACGCGACTCAACATTGTTATTGTAAACTAGACATTAGCCATACTTTAATAGTTGTCATCTCTGTATTTTTAGAACTTCGAAATTAGAATGTCAATTTTATCTGCCATTGTTATGGAGCTGTAGGATATCGAATGTTATTTCTTCAATGATAAAAAGAAATGAAATTTTTAATACCACATCTCATTCATATAACTTATTAACATAATTGAAAAACAATTTAATTCATTTCGTGTTATATCTGAAAATTAAAATTTGTAATACATTGACTAAAGATTCTTACAGGTCTTATTCCCATTTTCCTCCAGGAAAAAGATAATTGCTGTGTAAAATGCATAAATATTTTCACGAGACTTATAATAGTGGTATTAGAATTATTATAATGTTTATGTCATATAATGGATCTGTGAATTTCTTTTAAATAATTTTTATAATCACAAAATTTTATAAAATTAAGAAAGTAGTAAATTTTACAATTAAAATATGAATCCCACACTGCAGAAATACATACAAGAATGAAAACACTGTAATATTTGAAATGCATGATTTATTTTTTTAATAAATTAATAATTATATTTTGATTTTCTATGACAGCAGACTGATTTGCAACTGATTGCTTATACAAGTCACATATTTCACACAGTACATTAATATATTCTTCTTCTGCGTTTCAATTATTTCCTTTTCTGCAGCTGTAATATCATCTCTCTCTTCCTTTTTTCTCTTCGGTCTCCTGCTTCGAATAGTTGAGCTTCTATCTGAGGGAAAATTTTAAAATATTCATTCAAATTCAAATATTCTTAATTTTTATATTTCATAATGTAAAACACTTTTTATAATTAATTAAACAATGAAACTTCTCTAAAAAGGAACAATTCATAATATTGATTTCTTTAACTTTCAATTTTTTTCCCCTTTATAATTTTTAAGACTGTTTATAGATCAAGAGGATTTAATGATTATTATTTTAAATTCTTAAAATCTTGTTGTTAATAAAAGACATACTCTGTATATAATGTTCGCAATAAAGAATTGAAATAACTCTTTTGTATGAGAAATATAATTTACATCTGTTATAATTAATTTATACCAGCGGTTCTCAGCCCGGTGGTATGCAAAGAAACAAAATATTTTTAACTATGAAATTCAAAAATCTCATAAAGAAAAGAATAGTTAATAGAAATTTCCTTTGATCGAAATTGACTTGAAGATTTGGAAAATGACACACTTGTTAACTTTTGGCTGAACCGAAAAAAAGAATTTAAAGGCATTTCAAATAAAGCTATCAAATTTGTATTGTCTTTTCGCACAACCTGTTTGTGTGAAAAATGATTTTTTCCATGTTAAATTTGAAATATAAATACTCATCCAAAATAAAAAGTGGATCCTAATTTACCATTAAATGAAATAAGAGCAGACATAAAGAAATTAAATATTAAAGTATTATAACTGAAATTTTGATAATCAAGTGAATAATTAATTTAATTAAATTTAATTTTGATAATTAAGTAATCATCAGTTTTTAATCTAATAGTTTTTTATGTGTACATATTTAATACAAAGAGTGTGCAAATGGCAATATATATATATATATATATGTTTTTTAATATTTCTATTGAGGAATTGAAAAATAATCATTGTAAAATTAGTGGTAGTATTAATGTTTTTCAGTTTTTGCTTAGATGGTACACTACTACAGTCAAAAGGTTGAAAACCGCTGATTTATACCATTAAAGTTTTTCTGTTGGGAGGAAAAGGAAAAGAAGAATCCAGAAAACATTAGATTTTATGTAATAGATACAAACTTGTCATTCCTAAATGCCATTGCAGATTTCCTCGTGATAAAGGTGTGGAATTTTCTAATGTAAAAAAGAAAAAAGCATAAAATAAGCACAATTTACTCAACAATCTTGACTGAAATATACATGCTTTCAGAGATAGCATAAAGCAAGAAAAGTTTACTCAACAATCTTGATTGAAATATACATGCTTTCAGAAATAATATACAAAGCATACTGCATAATCAAAGTTATGAGTTTATATACTATGAGATACTATACATGTTTATAATATACCACGTTCCTGTACACCTAACACCTCGTCCACAATTTTCTATACAATTCATTAAGATATAGTTCCTGAAACATAACTGACTTAAGAGAAACATGCATACTTCTAATTTATGCACAATAATTTGACAAACATTGATTTCAGGTAAAGAGCTACATGTATTATATCAAAAGAAAGAATGAATAAGTGTAACTTGCCTTTATCCTACAAATACTTAAAAACATTTACATTAAAAAAATGAATTATACGTAATCGTAGCAAATTTTTAATGAAAAACAAAACAAGAGTTGAAAACTTAATGCAATTTTTGTCAATATTTTACTCTCTTAAAATTTATATAAATGTATAGAAAACTTGAAATGCATACCGCATTTGGCTGGAAAACTTGTGGTATTGTACTGCACTCTAGGGAAAGGGAAAAAGTATACAATGAAGCAATCATAAGAATAAAAGATATTTGCATATTATTGAAACCACCTTAATAAAAGTTACCAGATTTTCAAAAATGTGCCAAACTCTGGCAACGATTATGTATCAAAATTTTTCAGGTAACATGCTCATGACAATTTTTCATTCAAGCAATGTCACCATTTTCATATGTGTTTCTTATGTTGTATTTCAAGTTCCAATGGATTTTAGATACGAATAGTTGTTTTAGATTAATTTCAGATTTAAAATACTGCTTGTGGAGCTTACCATCAAAAGACGAAGCTGTGTTAAAAGTTCTGCAGGAATAGAACATTTTAGTACAAAAATTTCTAATGGAAACAACTATGAGATGAATTTGGTACATAGACAAGGCATGCAGTATCAAGTTTATGTAATTCTCTGATTTTTTTTTTTTTTTTTTTTTAAGTGAAAACAGATCACTTGGCACAAGTGCTCAAAATTTAGACAAAAAATTTGTGGAAAATATATTTTTTTTAAACTATCATATAATTTTTATTTAATAATTCAAATTAGTATTTTAAAATTTGTTAAATGTTTTTTCCTTTGATATGTTGATAACATTTTGCCAACTTAGATAAATATTGATAGTTTGGTTATGCTAAAAGCAAGCTGCAAAAACAACGTACTTCTCCTGATAAGTATTTTTCTCTTTTTCATTTATAAAGACCACCAAACTGATCCAGGTGTTTGTGTTAATACGTAAGTACCAAAAAATATTGAAGAATGCACAATGAAAGATGGCAACCAGTATGGTAAAAGATATAATTAATATATGCAATGAAAGAAATCTTATTAAAAGACGACTTTCATTATCAGCAGAGAAGCATGACACAGTTACAGTAAAGAAATTAAGCTTTTGTTTCTGCACTTGTAGCTTTTAATAGCCAAAAATTGTTTTTTGAAATTTTATGAAATAAATAAATCTGAACATAACTGATATCAAATGAGAATGGGTCCAAACTTTCACTTAAGAAGCAGAAAGTGTACTGTAAATGCACAATATAATGAGCAGAACACAAAGCATAATTTATAAATTAACCTTTACTCTGGATGTATATATTACATTAATATCACATTAGAATTATCAGGGTTTCATATAATTTTTTATTTATTGTATTACATTGAAATACCTTTAATTTCATTTTTATATTTTCCCAACGATGTACAATATAAATCTAAAATTGCTCTTAACTGTTTCATCACATAATGAATGTCTAAGGGAAGGAATGCCTGCGTGGAAGACTAAGGAAAACTTAGTATTCATGTTATACATTGAAAAAATGAAGAAAACACTCATGCAGCCAGCTTTTTCACCTGGATTTAAAGAGAGACTGGGATAGCGGTGTTCAGCAGGCTTATCTGCTTGTAGATAGATGGGCTTATTAATTACTATATAATTCAAGAACTAGTTAATTTTCATATGGTAAACATGCCTACTGTCACTGAAGAATCATGCATCTGCATTAAACAATAAAAATATAACACAAATTTGAATTTTAAATTAAACTTACTATTAGAAGAATTAAAACCAAATGCTGTAATTTGAAAATGGGAAAAAAATGTGGTTTATATTTGAAAAAGCAAGGATTTTTGTCTGAAAAGTAAAATATATTTTACACACACCTGTTGCTGTAGATTACTTTGGAGGGAATTTTCTATGGGATAAAGTAAATAAAGTTGTACACATTAAAAGAAATATATTTCTTTCGTTTTCAGGACTGGAACAATTCGTTACACCACACTACAACGCGCAGTAAACACACTTGACCATAAGCTCAGAGAAATCATGGGAACTGATGTTTTTTGTTTACATCGACACGCAGTCTCATTGGATATTGATGTAGTTTATCGGACAAGCTCTCCTGGCACGAGAGCAAACCAGCTCCCCATTGCAATTTTGACGTCATCAGTTACCAGAGCGGTAAAGCGTTGCACTTGAATTCGACTTTAGCAGACGATAGCAGGAACGCCTCTTGCGAGCTAACATTTGCAATTTATCAGAGCGTTGCACTTGAATTCGCCCCTTAATGCAATACCATCGGCCACTGGCAGACTTTTTTTTTTTCGTCAAAAGGGGTACCTTATTTAAAGTTAAAAAACTTCCGGGGAAAAACGTTTTTTCGGTGGTTATGCTTACACCGCAGATCCTCACCGATGTTTGCAATGAGCAGAAATGCAACAGAAACAAATATTGCCTTGTTATATGCAAAATTTGAAAACGATTAGTCAGTATAGTAGTCAGAAGTTATACATTTCTTTTTAATAAAAATCTTATTGCGTGCTTACAGGTTCGTAATAAATTGAATACACAAGTCAGATGAAAAGTGAATAAAATTTATTCTTATCACAACAAGTAGAAACAAAATGCTTAAATTTCCTTAGAGATATTCGTACAATATCTCACAGTAATTATCTTTTAAACTATTAACACATTCAAAAGAACTTAATTCAATACAGAGAAAGCTAATCCGATTTCACCGCAAATTCGCTACAGTAAACAACAACAGTTTTCTAAACAAACTGAACTGAGATTTTTTCCTCCAGCTTTAACAAGCTTTTTAATCAGCATGAGAATATTCTCTTATTTTCTCGATTTTTCTGGATAAGAAAAGTAATTACGAGATATCTCTGTATTAAATGCGCGTGCTTCTGCATTTTTCTTTTTCTTCGGCGTAGCTTTTTCATCAAATGTATCGCGCGCACCATTGCACGGGGAAATGAAACTATTTGATAACATTTCTATTAAAAATAGCAAAATTAAATACAAAACCCGTAACACTGCCCCCTTCCCAAGACTGCACGTCCCGGGCAGTACAATCCCTGGACAGGAAGTAAAACTTACAGCTAAGACATCAATGCAATAAGGAACATCACATTACAATAACAAGCAACATAGACAACAAGTGTAAATACAGTCTTCTCAAGTGCTATCAAATACAAATCAAATGAGTGTATAAATTTTACAAATTTAGAAACAAAAAGGACTATGGTCTTATACTATTTACATTATATACACTACGTACTATAGCCATAGTAAGGAGCTAACCTGTCGTAATGAACTACTTTAGGTTTAGAGTTCGATGACTTACGGATTCAAACCACGACGTCGTTCAGTCTGTTTAGGACAGTATAAGGACCATCCCAAGGCTGCAGTTTCGGATTGAGTCCTTTTCCTCAAATCGGGTTTCACAACCATACCATTGTATCCTTCGTTGAATCGATGTCCAGAGTTCTCGTGTCGTATCGTGTCTTTACCGTCGCCAAGTTGACTCGCTCTTGCATTAGTTCAAACCGGTCCTGGAGATCTTGGATGTAATTTTCAGACGATGAAGGTGCATCTGGAGAGCGACCAAACAAAAGATCCCATGGCAGACGAGGGTCACGATCGATGAGCATCTGGGATGGGGAATATCCGGTAGTCTCGTATTTCTCTTCGACCCTAGTATGATTTCGGCAGCTTTCTGTGCAGGATCTTTCAGACAAGACGTCGACGTTTCCAGGTGAGTATCCCTTCTGATGATGGATGGCTATATTCTCTGATGCTGAAAGCAGGCTGTTGTTTTTCAAGTCCAAGGAGAAATTGTATTTCCTTAAAAAGTCTAGTATGCAGGGATCTGTAATTTCGAGTATACAGGGATCTGTAATTTTTGCCACATATGCCGTATTATAGTAGGCGGCATTTCCAAAGGTGATGTTAACGTTTAACTTCCCATTTATGTCTCAATCTTATCACCAGACTCAATCTGCAGTCTAACACAGGATGGCGTCCAAATGAGTTTTACTTTAAATCATTCAGCCAAATCTTTCTGAATGATGGTAACATTAGCTCCTGTGTCAATGATAATACTGCAAGGAACTTCACTGATATATCCATTGATGGACAGTCCGTTACTTTTGCCACTCACTGTAGAAATCTTGAGCACTTTAAAACATGGTTTTTCATTATCTGGCAACCTTTGCTCTTCGATATGGTCATTAATTTGTTTCCTGCGTCGTTGCTGGGAAATGGTCTTATTTTCCGTACCCTGGGGTGTTCTGCAGTCCCTTCGTACGTGGTCTTCAGCTCCGCTTTTCCAGCACTTTGGTTTCTTGTCACTCTTTTCTGTCTCATGGCATTAAATTGATTGTTTAAATCGTCTGTATTTTCCGTACTCTGGGATGTTTTGCAATTACTTCGTATGTGGCCTTCAACAGCGAAGTTCCACCACTTTAGAATTTTTTTTCACTCCTCAGTTTCAGTTTTCTTTTCAGTTTTCGCAGTTCCAGCACTTTGGTTTCTTGTCACTATTCCCATCTCGTGGCGGCCCACCAGCGGTCGAGCTGTAAAATCGTTGAACACTGGTAGTTCGGTTCGAGGTTCGAATCCCGCTAACGGGCTGGCTGCATGAGCGTTTTCGTGGTTTTCCCCATGTGTAACGTGTATACGATCACTAGACCGTCAATCTCGGAACGCCTGCTATTGTTAGCTGGGCGAGTTCAATATACGCAGGCGAGAGGAATAGAAAGGAAAGGTTCCGGAATGGTTTCCAACGGAAATAATTGGATCGTGGAATGGCTTTCAGTGGGTACTAGGGAAAAAAGGGATATGTTCGCTGACTTATTCCCGAACCGTGGAAGGAGTTTCACTGCTTATTTTTATGCTCCAGGTTTTATTGAATATTTGTAACTGTAAAGTTTTTATTTACTTAAGGTATTGTAGAAAATTGTAACTTTAAAAAAAGGGCAGAAAATCAATAAGAATAATAAATAATACACTTACTAACGAAACGCTTAGCTACCCTCACAAAGTAGGAGCCCGTTCATAAAAGGCGCTCAATCCCGGAACGACTGAAATTCCCTATACTCAAAATTCCTTTTCCTTTCTCCTCTTAGCTCATCCCTACAAATCTTGGACACTTCCGGCAAACAATAGAATTCGTTCCGGGATTGAGCGCCTACTTATACGAGCCAGTTCCCTTTAGAAAGTCTTCCACGAAGGCATCCCTCCCCTTAGGCAAATAGCCCTAGTGTGCTTTGCCGTATTCTCAATACACCACCAACCCATCTCATGGCATTTAATTAACTGTTTAAATTGTCTGTCTTATTTTCCGTGCTCTGTGGTGTTCTGCAGTTCCTTCATATGTGGCCTTCAACACCGCAGTTTCAGCATTTTAGGATTGATTTCTTGTCACTAATATTTCGTCTCAAAGCATTGAGTTGTCTGGTTATATCGTATAGACTCTAGACGAAAAGTGACTTCATTCCTTGGCTCCTGGACTAGAACAGTTCTGATTGGGTGGCGGTCTCTACGAGTTGCTTGCTGGGCTGCCTTGAATTTCATGCAGTACACTAGGGCACTTTTTAAATCTTTAACCTCCGTCATTCGTAGAGCTTTCTGTATTTCGAAATCTCGGATACTATCAACGAAGTACTGCAGGAACAGGATTTCTCTCGTTTCTGATGGACAGTCCGTAAAAGCAAGACAAGAGAGCCTTTCAACATCGGTGGCGAGTTTCGGAAATTAGCTGCCAGAAATTTAGCCGGAACTTTCCGTTTTAGCTGCCAGAGATAGCAGCTGTTTCTACTAATTTCGCACCCCTGTAAACCTCCAAAATTCTTACAAGTTTAATCATTTTGTCTTCATGCCATACTGTTTACGTGCAATAAATATCTTTTTTGTATATGCTTTCCGTCATGGTGTTGCAATACTAATGGCCAGCAATGTATAAACGCCAGCTATTTGATCCCGATTCTTTTTTCCTGCTTGCATTTAGATATAAGCTATTTTGAATTGTACTTTTTAGAGCTATTTATTCTATTCTGAATTAAAGATAATTTAGAGCATATGTTTTACTTTTCAATTATTTATATAATGCGAAGTTAGCCGATAGCTTCAGAACATACACGATTTCAGCGCAAAATTTTATACTAAATTCAGCGCAAAATTTTCATTATATTCCTATCAGTTGTCCTGTGGAAAAGAGAAAAATTATTACTAAAAGAGATTTAAATTTAGGTCCTAAAGACTTTTTTTTTAATTATTATCAAATAATTATTTTTTGGAAATATTAAAAGGTTAAATAATGCGGATTTAGAGATCTGAAGAGTAAATGCAGCATTATAGATATTAAAAATAAGGCTAAAATTATTAGGCGGAAAAAAAAGCAACCTTAATTTGACACAGAATTGGAATAAAACTCAAAACTAAAGTTGCTTTTTTGCCTAATTTTAGCATAAAAATGGTGTGTTTCTCTTCTAACTACAATTGTGCTTTAAATTTGATAGGTGTAACATTAAAAAATAGAAATTGAATTAAATATATTGCAGCAATTTACATTTTCAATGTTAGAGAATCTTGAATTGTTCCAATGAAAATAATGAAATTTTTGATACAGCTACACATTAAGTCAAACATTATGCTTTTTGTTATAAAGAAATTTGTTATAAAGAAAAGAGACAGGTATAGATATAACATATGTTTCAAAAACACAAACAATGTAATAACTCTCATAATCACAATATACACTTCAGAAAACATTTAGTTTTGTATATCAAGTGTAAAATTTAAAAATTAGGTTGAATATAAATAATATAACCATCACACATGCCCACAATATAAGTAGAATGAAGTATATACACAATTTTAGAGCCTAGCCTGCGAGGATTTGCAGGCTTTTTGCCAGCTGCCTTTAAATCATGGCATCTTGGAGGTAAAAATATCAGTGAAGGTGTCACAGAGACAAGATATGAAAAACTCAAGAAAGCAAACTA